TTCTTTCTTTCTTTCTTTCTTTCTTTCTTTCTTTCTTTCTTTCTTTCTTTCCTTCCTTCCTTCCTTCCTTCCTTCCTTCCTTCCTTCCTTCCTTCCTTCTTTGGTGTTGCTGAGGACTCCAGGGCCTTCTCTCTGCTAAAAGCTCTACCACTGAGCACTATTCCCAGGCCCAATTTTTTTTTTCCTTTAGAGACAGTATCTTGCTAAATCATCCAACCTGGCCTCCAGTGAGAATTAATTTTCATGTTACCTTCTCTAATCCTAAAATTCCAAAGTAGGGGCTGGGGAGATGGCTCAGTGGAATAAGCGCTTCCCTGGAAAGTGCAAGGGCCTGAGTTCAATCCCCAGTTCCGGTAAAAAAAAAAAAAAAAAAAAAGCAAGAAAATTCCAAAGTAGGGGAAAGAAAACAACCAAATCCTAGTTTTCGGCTCATAAGCTCTTTGTAGCTGGATGGCAGGCACACAGGGTTTGCGTGTGAGCAGTGTGTGCTCACAGCCTTTTGAGCTCATCGTTTCCAGGCACCTGCTAGGGAATCACTGCTGCTGTACTGCCAGGCCTTTGGAGGAGGCCATTATCCTGCTGCCCTTTGCTGATGAAGTTGGAATTCTGAAATCTGTTAGGCGGCTCCCTCAAACTTCCAAGTTGAATCCTTATTTGGAAACTTGTGTCTTTTATCAACATGCATTCGAACTGTGTCAGCAAAAAACAACTGGAACTCAGGAAGTAGATTCATAGAAATTCAAGGAAATTCTCAGGCTTCTGCTTGGCTAGATATGGAAGAGCAAAATGAAGAGCAGAAGGAAGGGAAAAAGCAGAGCAGGCATGGGTTAGGAGGGTGAGTGAGAAAATACTGGCACTTGTTTGATTTGGTTTTATTCCCTTTCAATTTTTATTCTAAAATAAGATGAATCTTTTGACTTTTGTACTTTCTCCTTTTAAGGAAAGAAGATCTTAACTCTTTCAGAGTATCACAGATCTAGAAAAAGTAACTTACTAATCAGCATCAGTAAAAAATTAACTCACCCTTCAGTAGGAGAGTTCCTACTACGTTTCAATAGAATGAGTGAAGGGTAAACTCAACAAGAGCAATACACAATCACCTTTAGATCTGATGAAACACTTATTAAACCAAAAGAATTGCTGAACTAAGACAATAGAAAAATTGCATAGACTTCAAGGATTTTTTATTAATCCAGTTAACTTGGAAAACCAATCAAAGTAGCAGCAATTGAAATTAACAGACAGTTCTCAAAAGGAGAAATTCGGGACTGGGGAGACAGCTCAGCGGTCTACGCACCTGCGTGGCAAGCACGAAGACCTGAGCTCAATTACCATTACCGCGTGCTGTGTGGGCCCTGGAATTCCAGCATGCTGAGCTGGCCACCAAAACTGGCCGTGGTGGCGCGTGCTTGTGATCCCAGAGCGCAGAAGGCTGAGACTGGAGGATCACTAGGAGTCCACGCTGCACAGTGAGACCCTGTACCAAATAAATAAATAAATAAATATTAAATTTTAAAAAAATTGGGCAGAGGATTTAAACCTACATTTCTTCACGAAAGACCTACAAATGTTTAATAAGAATAGGAAAAGATATTAAATATTATTAATCATTAAAGAAATTAAAATTAATACCACACTAAGAAAAATATCCATTAGGATGGATATTATAAAAAAGAAGCCAAATAATAAATTTGGTCATGCATAAATTGGAATCCTTGAGTATTACTGGCAAGACTATTAAATGGTTGTGGAAAATGCTATGATACTCCTTACAAAATTAAGTATGCATTATTGTATAACACAAGAACTTTAGGGCCGGCCAAATAGCTCAATGGATTAAAGTGCCTGCAAGCAGGTGCAGAGGCTGGGGGTTCCATCCCTGGGCCTGCCGTGCTGACTCCGCCCCCGGGG